GCGGCTCGGCCGGCGGTGGCCGGCGGCGACGCGGCAGCGGGTCGAGCCGCGACCGACTCGGGCTATGTCGTGACAACAGCCGAGCAGCCGACATGTGCTCGCGGACACTGTGCGCCGCCCGAGCTCGCCAATGCGCGCACCCGACGCACGCCCAGGTGGCGCCGCCGACGGTGTGTCGCCACCGCAGCGAGCCGCCACGCGGCGCACGCACGCGTACCGGCCGCCGCCTACGCCCCCACGGTCCGTCGCGCCGCAGCTGCTCCCGACTCTCCCCGACCCCACGCCCGAGACGCCACGGCTCCGGGTGATCATCGAGACGGCGGACACGCCCGGTGCCGCCTGCCCGTGCCGCCGCGGCCTCGACAGCCCGGTCGAGGCAGGAGGTGGCGACGCACTACGACTTCGTACAATGCCGAGGCAGCATCGCCGCGTCCGACGATACGACGTCGCCCTACCACTACCCGACAACCCGCGATGGGCGGCGGCGCCGCCGCTTGCCGCGCCCCGGCGCGACCCCGCCGCGCGCCCTACGGCGGCCCGACCACCTCTTACAACATCCCCCGGACTGCGCCGAACGCAGACGACGACGGTCGAGCTCCAAGCTCGTCGTCGAACAGCGAACAACAGCAACAGCAGCGGTGGCGGTTGAGCGCGACCGCGTCAGCGCGAGGCCGCCGCCGCCCGGGCGGCTCGCTCGCGGGCCGGCGCAAGCCCTCGATCGCCGCCTGTCGCCACCGCCGCCACCGCCGCCGCCGCACGCGTTCACGTACGTCGCAACCGCCGCCTTCTTGTCTCGCAGGTGGCGCCGCCGCCGGAACACGACGAAGGTCACGAGCAGCACGACGAAGAGCAGGCTGAAGAAGATGATGGCGACGACGACGCCGACGTGCAGGGCGCCGCTGCTGCCGCCGCCGGCCGCCGACACGCAGCTGTAGCGGTGCCATTCGTCGACGCAGACGTGGTCGTCGGCGCAGGGGGCGCTGCTGCAGACGGGCGGACCCTCGCAGCCGGCGGCGACCTCGCCGTACGTGACGGCGTCAAAGAGGTGGCCGGAGCCGGTCAGCGGCTGGATCTCGCCATTGATGTTCAGCGTGGATAGGCAGCCGGAGAAACCTGCAAAATTTAGGAGGATTATATGGTGTAAAATATTTTGCATATTATGAGAATGATCACATTTTCTTGGCTTTATGAAAGCTTATGCTGAGCTTCATTGAATAACAATAAAGTAAAAAAGTACCTATGCCAGCTGTACCCTACTACACCTATCGTACTTACTATTCTACAGTGTTAAGCCTGGGACACACCATGCAAATTTATTCGCACGTCCGCGGCGATCATATCGGCAGCGAAAATATTCACACCCGCATGCGATAATTGAGCGGGCACACCATGCGAATTTATTCGCACGTCCGCAGCGTACACACTACACGCGATCTACTGGCGCACACGGCTCCACCATGGCTCCAACAGTCATGTGGTCACGTGATTAGCATACTGATCAATGATTCGCTGCATTATAACAATCGGCCGCTTAAATACTGAGACACACCATGCGAATTTATTTGCATGTCCGCAGCGAAAATATCAAACATGTTTGATTGCTGCGAATTTCACCCGCACCGAAATTCGCCCGCGCGTTAGCGGACACACCATGCGAATCTCGCTGCGATTTTACAATCGCTGCGGACGTGCGAATAAATTCGCATGGTGCCCCGCTTTAGTTACGCTCATAGGGTCTATGTCCCCCAGGGTACTGCCAGAACGTACCCTGGTCACTATTTGATATGGTTAGGGTTAGGATTAAGGTTAGGGTTCGGGTTCGGGTTAGGGAGTAGGCGTAGGCGACTCACTAGACGCGTTAGTGGAATAGGCGAGGTACGGTCCGGCATAGTAGATAGTACCAGGGTACGTTCCGGTATACCGGACAGTACCCAGGGTACGTTCCGGCAGTACCCCGGGGGACATAGACCCTCTCAGCTTTAGTTACAGTGCTTGATGAATATATTCACAGTACGAATAACACAAGTACATAATCTTAGTTTAAATTTAGAATTATATTAAAATTACTACACTAACGCACCACCAATATCCTAATAGACCAGATAGTAAATTCGAAAGATTTTCCAAATATTAACGAGGCGAACTTCGCGACACTATGGAGCACGAAACCGTACCGGGTATGATCTGTCCGACGTGGCGGATCGGTTCGGCGTATCCTCCGACCGCAAAGATGCTGACGTCGGTCGAGAGAAAGTCGTGCACGGGAACGGAGAAGCTCTTCTCGACGTGGTCTCCGTCGAGCGCGAGCGCGATGCTGTTTGCGCGCTGCGCGAGCGTCACCGTGTGCCAGCGACCGTCCGAGCTGTCGCCCGCCTCCACCAGCAGCTCTGTGACGATCGCGCCGTGCACGGCAGACACGTAGCGCACTCTACCGTGATACAGCTGTCAGGAAACAAGAGCACGTCTTTATAGCGTCGCGTTGACTAATGGGAGATATATATAAGCAGAAGGAGAGAGACATACCAGGGTCGATGTTTTGTTTCGATAAATTGTTAGATCACTGATCAGCACCGTGGATTGCAGTTAATTAAAATGATGTCTGCTTCAATAGACTTTAACTGGAGACATAAAAGGGGGATTATTTAGTAAGAATCTATCTACTCGTGATATTTTAATGTAATTAAAAGTTACCTGCAGTATCGTATACTCTGAGGATGACTTTGCATAAAACAGCATGCCGTCATTCGCCCGTGTTCTGAACTTTATCAACAGCGTCTGTTCACTAGGCAATGCTTCCCTCCTCTGCCTGCTATGTGCTGCCACCTGCTGTGAGATCTGCTTGCTGCGCTTGAACGTATCAGACATGCTGAGCTCTACCCATCCATCTGCTGACAGACTGAATGCTTCCGTTGCTGAAAGTTATTAAGACATTCTTATCAAATATAACCGAGGGTGGCAGAGCTTACAAATATTAACAACTAGTAGCATGCATATACTTGTGATACTATATTACATATTTCTAAGTTGGCCCTGTAATAGGATTGCATGTACTACGCAGAATACAGCATCTATATATATACTATATAGCACCGACGAGATACATTCAAGAAATTTTAACCACCACGCTAAACGGACCATAGCGTAAAACATGTCAAAAACATCACAAATAGTTAGACTAATAAATAAAATTAATAAATAATGACTAATAAATAGAATAATAATAGATAAATAGTCACGTCTAAGAAGCCACAACTTTTGCACGAGACTTTACTTAAAAAGTTATGACATGTTTCTGATAATGGACCCCCAGATTATCATGCGCTTATTGTTTTGGAATAATACCTTTGGTACAATTGAGTTTCGTGATGCCTTCAGAACACTGGCAGCTGTGAGAATCCCACTCATCTATGCAGATGCCTTCAGAGCCGCAGGGCCGTTTGAGACACATGTCCTCGTTTCTTGGACAGGTATCGGTGACAAAACGTGACGACAGGGGCTTACTCAGATCCAACCTGCGATACATTATAACTTCACCACCAATATCCTAATAGACCAGATAGTAAATTCGAAAGATTTTCCAAATATTAACGAGGCGAACTTCGCGACACTATGGAGCACGAAACCGTACCGGGTATGATCTGTCCGACGTGGCGGATCGGTTCGGCGTATCCTCCGACCGCAAAGATGCTGACGTCGGTCGAGAGAAAGTCGTGCACGGGAACGGAGAAGCTCTTCTCGACGTGGTCTCCGTCGAGCGCGAGCGCGATGCTGTTTGCGCGCTGCGCGAGCGTCACCGTGTGCCAGCGACCGTCCGAGCTGTCGCCCGCCTCCACCAGCAGCTCTGTGACGATCGCGCCGTGCACGGCAGACACGTAGCGCACTCTACCGTGATACAGCTGTCAGGAAACAAGAGCACGTCTTTATAGCGTCGCGTTGACTAATGGGAGATATATATAAGCAGAAGGAGAGAGACATACCAGGGTCGATGTTTTGTTTCGATAAATTGTTAGATCACTGATCAGCACCGTGGATTGCAGTTAATTAAAATGATGTCTGCTTCAATAGACTTTAACTGGAGACATAAAAGGGGGATTATTTAGTAAGAATCTATCTACTCGTGATATTTTAATGTAATTAAAAGTTACCTGCAGTATCGTATACTCTGAGGATGACTTTGCATAAAACAGCATGCCGTCATTCGCCCGTGTTCTGAACTTTATCAACAGCGTCTGTTCACTAGGCAATGCTTCCCTCCTCTGCCTGCTATGTGCTGCCACCTGCTGTGAGATCTGCTTGCTGCGCTTGAACGTATCAGACATGCTGAGCTCTACCCATCCATCTGCTGACAGACTGAATGCTTCCGTTGCTGAAAGTTATTAAGACATTCTTATCAAATATAACCGAGGGTGGCAGAGCTTACAAATATTAACAACTAGTAGCATGCATATACTTGTGATACTATATTACATATTTCTAAGTTGGCCCTGTAATAGGATTGCATGTACTACGCAGAATACAGCATCTATATATGCATATATATAGCACCGACGAGATACATTCAAGAAATTTTAACCACCACGCTAAACGGACCATAGCGTAAAACATGTCAGAAACATCACAAATAGTTAGACTAATAAATAAAATTAATAAATAATGACTAATAAATAGAATAATAATAGATAAATAGTCACGTCTAAGAAGCCACAACTTTTGCACGAGACTTTACTTAAAAAGTTATGACATGTTTCTGATAATGGACCCCCAGATTATCATGCGCTTATTGTTTTGGAATAATACCTTTGGTACAATTGAGTTTCGTGATGCCTTCAGAACACTGGCAGCTGTGAGAATCCCACTCATCTATGCAGATGCCTTCAGAGCCGCAGGGCCGTTTGAGACACATGTCCTCGTTTCTTGGACAGGTATCGGTGACAAAACGTGACGACAGGGGCTTACTCAGATCCAACCTGCGATACATTATAACTGTATTAACAACCATGACTGTAAACATGACTTAACAACCACTACTGCCTTCCGTAATATATGTAACGTATGTATATTGTACGTATATAGTATTTATATAAGTATTAGTTTTACCACAAAATTTTTACCATAATCGACATTATTAAGAATAATTAGTTTAAAAAAATTATTAAGAAACCAGGTATTAACACTGACTGTCGTTATATTTATGGTTTATTCTGATACTGCACACGCATGGTCTTTACACGCACCTGATATCGTTGACGTAGATCGAACGAATGCAGCCGATGAAGTCAGTGCTGCGGACCTGACCCGGTCGATCAGCCAGTCCGTCCACAGAGCTTACACCGCCCACACTCATGTGCTGACCACGCAGATTCAATGACCTGTAGATGCAATGTAGCAATGTAGAAGCAATAGATACACTATATATATATATATATATATATACACACATACACACACGCGCGCACACACGCGCGCACGCACGCACGCACGCACACACATATATATATATAATATCAAGAGCGTATAAAGGAGAACGTACAACGGTGAAATGCTGAAACCATGTTGCAGTATTAGTCGAATTAATAAACTTTCCCCGTTTTATTTTAAGTATTATATATTGATCAGCTGTCCTACCTTGTTAATATAAAACAAACCGCATGTCCCTACGATACCCCTACGCTGGGGAACCAGGTACAACGTACTGGCTTTAAATGCTTACTTAGCAGGATTGAATGATGTATACTTACGATGCTCGACCGACGGAGGAGCCGGAAGCCTGGCAACCGTCGTCATGGCAATCCTCACAACCCTCCGAGTTGCAGACGCCAACACTCAGAGTCGCAAACTGTCAACGACAAACGTTTCGTAAGCGGTGAGATTTCACAATAAACATTCCCCGTCTACCTATTATATACGTACCTAATACCTATGTGTCATCTATGTAACCTCTCATTAATTAATTACGCAATTCAGCAATTGGCCGATAGCCGGAAAATTATATGGGATACAAACAACAATCTTGATTGGGTTATGGTAACAATATTTTGCATTTGTATATGTCACTTCTACATTAATTCCCTATTAATTATTCCACTTAGCCAGTAGCCCAGTAGGGCACAATAAATTTATTTACTTCTACATATTAGCTTAATCAAATGAGTTTTAGCATACGTAAAATATAATATATAATATATTATATATATTATATCTTATAATATATAATATATCTTATATTACATACAAGATGTGGGTAGTTTTCGCGACAGCTGAGGTGATATGACATGTGTACCTTCGCTCTGCGCTGAGCCGTCAGTCTGTACCATCGAGCGTTAGAGACGTCCACGTCGATGCGCACCCTCACGACTTCCTCTGCGAGTCTGTACGACAGCACAGGCCGTCCATCCTGCAGCTCCAGGGCGAGGAACAGCGAGCGCTCGCCCGCGCGTCCGTCGTGGTTGTACAGCAGCAGGGCGTCGCGGCGCAGGGTAGAGAACTCGATCGCGATCTTGTTTCCGCGCGCGTCCAGCGGCGGGAACTCGGCGTAGCTGAGCGCGCGGAAGCCGTAACTCGCCTGCTCGCAGCGCGCGCCGTGGTACCCGAACGCGCAGCGGCAGTAGAAGCCGGCTGCCGAGTCGTCGGTGACGCAGGCTCCGGCGTTGCGGCACGGCGACGACGCGCAGGGGCTGATGGTCGCCTCGCAGCGTGCGCCCGTGTACGGCTCGCGGCAGGTGCAGTGGTATGAGCCGTACGTGTTCTCGCACACGCCGCCGTTCTCGCACGCGCCGCCCCGCAGGCACTCGTCGACGTCGAGCTCGCAGCGCTCGCCGTGGTAGCCGTCGACGCACGCGCACGCCGCCGCGCCGCCGCGCCACACGCAGCTGCCGCCGTTGCGGCATGCGTCCGGCGGGCAGACGTGATCCTGCCTAGCGTCGCAGGAGACGCCCGTGAAGCCGCTCGCGCAGCGGCACGCGTGCGTCAGCTCCGTGCGCGGCGACACGAAGACGAGCGACGGCGCGTCGGCGGCCACGACGTCGTCGTACACGACCACGCGACTCGCGCACGCCCCGCCGTTACGGCACGGCGACGACGCGCACGGGTCGCGGCCGACCTCGGCGACCTTGACCCCGGATTCGCGCTCGATGCGCTGCTGGCCGCGGAGGATCGCGCGGACGACGTCGGCTGCGGTGACGTAGCGTGTGTCGCCGCGGCGGACAGCGAGCCGTAGCTCTAACGCGCCGTCGCCGATGTCCTGCATCGCGATGATCTCAAACGTGCGACCCGCGTCGAGCGCGCCGCCTAGCGCGCGCACGAACGCGTCATAGAAACGCGCCGCGAACGCGTCGGCAGTGACGTTGTCGAAGCGCAGCGTGACACTGTTCTCGAGCGTCGCGTTCGTGAAGGCGGCGCTGCGCACGCGTACCGTCGAGTGTACGCGCGCGTGCGCCCCGTCCGACGCGCTCACGTTGAGAGTGTAGACGGCGTCGGCGCGTAGCGGCCGCAGCACGTGCAGCTCGCAGGCGCGAGGGATCGCGAACACGTCGCGGTCGCCCGCCTCCAGCACGCACGCGTACTCGCCGACGAGGTCCGGGTCGGCCGGCGACACGTCGGCGACGCGTCCGCGCGGCGCACGCCCGGCGAGCGCGTGCACGGCGACGAGCAGGTCGCGCGGCGACGACGGGCTGTCGTTGACGTCGGCGACGAGCACCTCGAGCGCGTGCGTCGACGTCATGCGCGGCGCGCCGCTGTCCATGACGGTGACGACGAGCGAGTAGCGGTCTCGCGTCTCGCGGTCGAGCACGCGCGTCGTACGCAGCACGCCGCTGCGAGGCTCCAGCGTGAAGTAGCGCGTGTCCGGTCCATCCGCCAGGCTGTAGACGAACGGAGCGCCGTTCTGCGGCGAGTCGCGGTCGCTCGCGCTCAGCGTCATGACGGACGTGTAGGCGGGCATGCCCTCGGCGACGCTTCCCCGCAGCGGCGCGTCGGCGAACTCCGGCGCGTGGTCGTTGACGTCGTCGAGCGTGACGACGACGCTCGCCGTGCCCGTCTGCGGCGGCGCGCCCGTGTCGACGGCCGCCACCGTTAGGTTGTAGACGGACACTGTCTCGCGGTTGAGCCGCCTCGCCGTCGTGACGACGCCGTCGCGTGCGTCGATCGCGAACGCGCCGCCGTCGTCGCCGCCGACGATGCTGTAGGAGAACTGCTGGTAGTCGCTGCGCAGGTCACGGTCGAACGCCGACACGCGCGCCACGACCGTGCCGACCGTGGCGTCCTCGGCGACGCGCGACACGTACGCCGCCGGCTCGAACACGGGCGGGTCGTTGGCGTCCTCGACGGTGACGTGCACCTCGCACGTGTCCGTGTCGTCGTCGCCGCCGATCGCTCCCGGGTTCTTCGCGAGCACGGTCAGCGACAGCTCGGACGCGCGCTCGCGGTCGAGCCGGCCCGCGACGACGATGCGCCCCGTCTCGCGCTGCACCGCGAACCCGCGATCGCGATTCCTCCCGACGAGCGAGTAGTGCACGACGCCGTCGCGGCCGCCGTCCTCGTCAGCGGCGACGACGACGCCGACGACGGCGCCGCGCTGCGCCATCTCGCTGACGCGGAAGCTGTACTGGCGCACGACGAAGCGCGGCCGGTACTCGTTCTCGCCGACGACGTGCACGCGCACGCGCGCCGCGTCGAACAGTGCCGCGTCGTCAGCGTCGCTTGCCACCACATCCACCGCGTACTCGGCGCGCGCCTCGTAGTCGAACGTCGCCGCCGCCGTCAGCTCGCCGCTGCGCGCGTCCAGCCGGAAGAGGCGGCCGCGTCTGCTCGCCTCGCCGCCTGGCGATCCGATACGTTGCGTCGCGGCGCTCGTGAGTCTGTCGTGTGTCCGCGCGGCCCGCAGAACCGCGCCGACGACCGGCGGCCGCCGGCGCGTTCTCCGCCGCACGTACGCGTCAGAAGACGGACGGCGTTGCCAGCGCGGCGGGCTGTCGTTGACGTCGGCGACCCGCACGACGAGAGCGACGCTGGCTCCCGCGCGAACGGAGTCCTCCGTTCGCGCCCGCCGGTCACGGTTTGACGACGTGCTGCGCGCCGTCCCGCGACGTCGTAGTCCAGCACGCGCGCCACCGTGACGGCCCCCGTGTCCCGCGTCCACCGCAAACTGACCGTTCGTGTCCTGTCGTACGCGACAGTCGTCGCGCCGGCGGCGGAGATCGAGTACGTGACGCGGCCGTTGACGCCGACGTCGCGGTCGAGGTGGCCGGGACACGGCGCGCGGATGACCAGCGCCGACGGGCCGGTCCTCCGGGACGTCGCCTCGTAGGACGCCTTCTCTCGAAGACGGCGCCGAGAAGCGGTTCTCGCTGGTGACGTGCAGCGTCGCGGTGACGTCCTAGACAGCGCGAGGATGCGCCGCGGTCGGTGGCCGCCACCGGTCCAGCTGCAGCTGCTCGTTCGTGCGGTCGTGCAGCGACTTGGCAACTCTCACCACTCCTGCGGACGAAGATGATGTTCTTCGTTAGAGATATGTTCGCGATGTATTTTAGTATTTTACTGTTTCTAGTACTAGTATATTAGTAGCGAAGTACAGGACTTCGTTAGCAGTATATTCGATACTACTACTACTACTACTACTACTACTACTACTACTAATAATAATAATAATAATAATACTAATAATAATAATGTTCGCGATGTGTTTTAGAAGTTAGTGTGTTTAGAAAGGCTTCATCCTGGTTGTCCCGAAAACATCACGTCACCTGGGATGTGGTATGAAGCACTCGAATGTTTAAATGTGCTGGTACGCGGCAATGACTTACCAGTAGTTACATCGACCTTGAAGTAATCGCTGCCATTACCGCTCGCTATACTGTAGCTTATAACTGCATTCTCTCCGTAGTCCTCGTTGTCTTCAGCATGAACCTTTATACGACAAGACATACGCGTATGAATAACTACACGAATTACTCAAATGCAGGGAAATTCATTAAACGAAAGTGATTGTATTCACCTACATTTCAGATGTTGGTGTGTTATATAGATGTGGTAGTGTTATAGATAGTGGTTATATCAATAAAAAAACTGGCCCCGTCTTCAGTTCTGTTACGTAAGTAAGCTGGCTACCAATTTATCTGCCCATCGCGCTGCAGCCAATGTAGCCTACTGATGCATGCAATATCAAACTAGTTTAAGCCAACGTGTATTACGTGAACCACAATGTACATGAATCACAACATGCACTACTATCATAACGATACATGTTATACAGTTTCATGTTATTGCAGCACTGAAGGTGCAGCGTTATTTACAGCTTCCGCTCATACAACTAATACTATTCAATCGTCTTTACAACGACGACGTCACCTCACCGCGTTAAGCCCTCACCTCTAATATCGACGCGCCGACGGGCGAGTTGTCCGGCACGGGAGAAGCGTACGCTGCGGCGTCGAACACCGGCGCGTGGTCGTTCGCATCCTCGATGTCGATCGTCACGGCGACGGAGCTCGACAGCCGCGGCACGCCGCTGTCGGCGGCGACGACCGTGATCACGTGCCGGTTGTCGCCGCCGCTCGCGTAGCGGAAGCGCGCGCGCGTCAGTACGTCACCGCTCTCCGCGTCGACAGCGAACGCGTCCGAGGCGGCGGCGAGCGCGTAGCGCACGTCCGAGTTCGGTCCGGGCCGGTCAAGGTCACTCGCGCGCACCTGCCCAACGTAGGAGAAGGCGGTGGCCGTCTCCGGCACACGGAACGCGTAGGCGTCGCGCTCGAATGCCGGCGCGTTGTCGTTCTCGTCGGTGAGCGTGACGGTGATGGGGGTCTCGATGCGCCAGTGCGCGTCGGCGGCGAGCACGATCAGCGAGTACTCCTCCTGCTCCTCGCGGTCCAGCGCCCCGGCGACCGTCAGCTCGCCGCCGCGCTCGTCGATCGCGAACCGCCCGCCCGGGTTCTTCGTCAGCCGGTAGGAGGCGTTGGCGTTGACGCCGTCGTCGGCGTCCGACGACGTCACGCGCACGATGAAGGTGCCGCGCGGCGAGTTCTCGGCGACCGCCTCGTTGAAGAGTCGCGTGAAGCGCGGCGGGTTGTCGTTGCGGTCGGCGACGCTGACGGCGATCGTCGCCGTGCCCGTCAGCGGCGGCGTGCCGCGGTCCGTCGCCTCGACCGTCAGCCGGTACGACGGCGTCGCCTCGTGGTCGAGCTCCACCTCGGCCGTCACCTCGCCCGTCTCGGCGTCGATGCTGAACGCGTTGCCGACGTTGCCGTCGGCCGACAGCCGGTAGAGGATCTCGCCGTTGGCGCCGTCGTCGGCGTCGCTCGCGTTGACGCGCACGACGAACGCGGGCGGTCGCTGGCCCTCGGCGACGCTCACCTCATAGACGTACTGCGAGAAGGCCGGCGCGTTGTCGTTGGCGTCTGTCAGCTCGACGGTGACGAGCGCGTGGTCGCACAGCGGTGGCGAGGCGGCGTCGCGCGCCTCCAGCCACAGCTGGTACTCGCGCCGCGTCTCGTAGTCGAGACCGCGCGTGACGCGCAGCAGACCGCCGTCGTCGAGCGCAAACACGTTGCCGTGGTTACCGGACGCGATGCGGTAGCGCAGGCGGCCGGCGGCGCCCGATTTCGGGGAGACGGCCGTCACCTGCGAGAGAAACGCGTTGTCGTGCGACGTGAGGACATGCGCGAGTAGGAAAGCACGTGAGTTTAGAGGTCAGGAAACATAGCACATCTATATTATATATCATCTTGCTGCCTCTTTTTAATTGGGGTTCTTATTATACTCTTCTCATTATGAGATGTATGTGAGTTAATTGGCAGTTCAAGAAACAACGTATTTAGTAATCTTGCTTCATTTTTTTTTTATTATACTATATTTTTATTTTTTATTTATTATTATATTGAAGAGGTGTTTATATATCATGATAGTGATCTTGATGTTCTTTTCAGTTTTCAACTATACCACTTCAGGTGAACATATCCAGGTGTCATGATGAGTCGCGGCCGCGGTGATTCAGAATATAGGTATAGATAGGTATACAACGCTACACACACAGCACGGGTCTCATCTTTGTGACAAGCAGAGATAACAACACTACACACACAACATGGGGTCTCATCTTTGTGACAAGCAGAGATAACAACACTACACACACAGCACGGGTCTCATCTTTGTGACAAGCAGAGGCACAACACTACACACACAGCACGGGGTCTCATCTTTGTGACAAGCAGAGGCACACCATTACACACACAGCACGGAGCCTCATCTTTGTGACAAGCAGAGGCACAACGCTACACACACAGCACGGGGACTCACCTTCGTAACTACGGCATTAGTCGTGTCTTCGCTGAACGTGAATCTGCTGGTGGCAGCGTTGAAGCGTGGGAAGCTGGCTGCAGGCCGCGTGAACACCTGCACCTTCATGCTAGACCCGAGCGATGGCAAACCGTCGTCCGAGACGGACACCTGCAACGAACAACCGCACATCGATTAATTGACAGATTGATGGGTTGGTTGCTCGATTGACAGATTGATGGGTTGGTTGCTCGATTGTGTGATTGTAACAGAGGTTAGATGGCAGCCACGGGTGAAATAAAAGTCAGAGTCCGTTCTGTGGAGTGCAGATGCAGTGCACTACCTCGTGTAGATTCAACGTGATTGTTAGTCGATGTTATGAAGCTATAAAGCTAGTGACGAATGAGATAGAACACGCAACTTCAACAATGGCATGCTCTGTCTACTCCTTATCCGCACTAAAATACTAAGCAATCATATACAAGTTAACAATATTGTAATTACATGATTATAACGCATAACATTATAATACAAATGTTATAATAACAAACAATAAACAACAACACCAACAAAAATAAAAAGAATAATAACACGGCCTTTGTACGCAGGCATTATACGTACATCAAGGATGTAGGGAGTTCTGGTGCGTGCCTCACTGAGGGCTGCTGCAGTCTTGATCACGCCCGTGTTTGGATTCAGGACAAACTTCCCAGCATCCGGACCAGCCATGCTGTATTTTAATAGACCGTTTGGGCCGCTGTCTGGATCTTCCGCCATCACTCCAGCAACAAATTGACCTGTAATTAGAGAAAATCAGTGAGAATACCGCAATTACTATACAGAGCATCATGGCTGAATACCTGCACTCTTGTTGAGTGCCATCTAATTGTGAGTCGGTGTGTCGCTCTATACAGACTACGAAGTAAATAATCTTGCATAAAAGCATAATAGCATGATATCCCATAATTAAAATCCAAAGAGAGTCGTCGTCAGATCATACGTCGTTTCACGGACAAGCTACGTTCTTGGAGGTTGTCCGCCAAGCGGAACAACTGTTAAACTAGGTCATGTAGATTGCTTATGAGGGTGTGACGTGTTGAACGCGAGATAGAGCATTGCAAAACTACAGCGGTGACAGCGGGCATTATTATTATTGGACATTTTCCCTGATGCTTGACTGATTTTACGTTTGAATTACACTGACTTTTACACGACTCTTACAATCAAACAGTTTGTTAAATAAATGTCTTTTTTCAGCCCATTTAACGACAGAAATCCGTTAAACGATCAGCTCCGTTAATGAATCGAACGCTGCATGATGACAGCGACGTGCGGCATCTCATCTGCGCTCACCTGGCGACGACGGATGCGGGATGTAGACGACCAGGTTGTCGTCGGCGAACGACGGCCGGTGGTCGTTCTCGTCGTCCACTACGACGGTGACGGTGGCCGTCGACGTGAGCGCCGTGTACGCGCCGCTCGAGTCCATCGCGACGACGGTCAGCTCGTACGTCGCCTGCCGCTCGCGATCCAACTCGACGGTGGTGACGAGCTGTCCCGTAGCAGAGTCCAGCACAAAGTGCTGACTATCACCGTCAGACAACTGATACCTGAATAAACGAAGCCATTTGTGCATGTAGCAGCCGTACGTAAGACTGTTTCGTACATAAGACGAAGGTTCTTCGTATATATAAGACTGATATGTCTTCTTATATTAGAGAGCAGAGCTGCCAACATTGACTTTGTGTAATAGTAATTCGAATATTTACAATTAGGAACTGATATATCTCCTTATATTAGAGACCAGAGCTGCCAACATTGACGTAACAAATTGTGTAATAGGAATTCGAATCTTGACAAGTAGGAAACGTATGTCTTCTTATATAAGAGACGCTAACGTGCTGCTGGTTTTATACCAGACGTGCACGCAATATTAAAACAAGTTGTTTCGATACACTTTCCCTTTAGTGTGTTGATACAGATTCAACAAATCTACAAACTACAAACCACAAAAATCAAAACTACAAACTGGTTCCGTAATCCCGTGAAACTACATCGTTACCAGAGAACACGCAACAAAACTGCAACTAGTCATGAGCTCGGGGTGAAGATAAGATACGATATCGTCACTCTAGGAGACAAGAACGAGTAAACGCCGACCGGAGAGAACTAACCTGACGAGACCATTGTTGCCTTCGTCTGCGTCTTCCGCATGAACCTCGATAACCCGGGTTCCCGCCGGCTGGTTTTCATTGACATGTGCGAGGTACCTGTCGCTGCTGAAGGCGGGACTGTGGTCGTTGACATCCTGCACTATCACCTTCACCCTGCCCGTGCCAGACAGCTGCTGCTCCACACCTGAAACACATAGCCATCATTTATATATGACTGATCACTAATATTACTAATATAATAATTAAAAATAATAAAAATAATTGTCATTATGATTATGGATTACTGATTGATTGAATAGTTAATTTCATAATTAAATGACAATAAGCCAACAGAACACGAGACAATAATTTATAAACTGTTATTTCAATTTTTTATCCGAAACAGAAAAAATACCCAATAAGTGTTATCGTGCATTATAGGATATTACCCACGATAAGCAAGCACATTACGATAGGTATTCGCGCAATGGCGCAATACTTCGCCCTAAAGTAATGAAGATTTGGCAAGCATCCAAGTGGCATCATTCGCAGTGGAACAATCGTTACCAAGGTAACAACGATGAGTGACAGGAGACCGTGACTAGTGAGCGCGTGGTCGGAGCAACGACAGCGCACATATGCAGCCGCAGACTGGTTTCGCTGCAGACGCGCCGAGCTAAGTTGTTACCCCGGGGCTTTCTAATACTACTGTCATTGTTACGTAACATTACTTTGATTGACGTCAGATCTGCGCAACGATGGGCAATGCCCGCTGACCAGGTTCCCAGCCCTTCCTGTATACACACATGAACAACGCCTAAGATGTTTCTGCAACACGGTATCGCAATTATTGGCCATTAAACCCTACAGGAGAAACCGCAATTTAATCCGAGTACTCGTCATGTATAGTGGGTGTACTATTCACTGCAGGAATAGTGGTTTGGCCGCTCTCTCTCTCTCTCTCTGTTGTCTCTGTCTCTGTCTCTGTCTCTCTCTGTCTCCTCTCTCTCTCTCTCTCTCTCCTCTCTCTCTGCTCTCTCTCTCTCTCTCTCTCTCTTTTGTGTCTGTCTGTCTCTCTCGCTCTCTCTCTCTCTCTCTCTTCTCTCTCTCTCTCTCTCTCCCCCCTCCCCCCTCTCTCTCTCTGTCTGTCTCTGTCTCTGTCTCTGTCTCTGTCTCTGTCTCTGTCTCTGTCTCTGTCTCTCTCTCTCTCTTTTCTGCTTCTCGCTCTCTCTCTCTCTCTCTCTCTCTCTCTCTCTCTCTCTCTTTCTCTATCTCACTATCCCTCTCCTCTTCTCAACCATTTACGGCTAGTTAGTCCTTCCATCGTATACGTGTGCCAAAACATAATTACGATTTTTACTCAAAAACTTACAAAAACACTGGTATTACTCATATAACTTTATGATAAAGGTATGCATGGACATTGCGCAAACGTAACATAAAATTGAAACACGTTACTATCAAACTTTTATGTAATTACTCAATTATGAATGCACCGAGGCCGCTTAATTCATCGTTTAGCTTTCCGGTTAATTGAATATTTCTGTCTGCACGCTAATGCGAGTATGCTCATAACGCGCGGACCGCCAGCTGGGTAAGGCATTGTATGTCTACTGCCAAATAAGACGCGTATCACTGCCAAATCTTGTGCTCAGCCGAGCAAAGAATAATGTGAAGCGATAAAATAGATATATAGGATGCATGCAACAGTAAGTTTTAGCTTCCGCAAATTGTTCACCGTTGCACTATTTGGTCTCTAGAAAACGCTTTTTTTGGTGAAATTCGTCACTAGAATGCACTCTTTTGCATTATGCACGCAAGTTAGATGCATCGTGGATGTCTAGAAAGCATTAGAAGTAAAATTGCTCTTGTCGTGTAGCTGTGACATTCCGTCAAGTGGCGTAGCCAGGGTGACCGGTTGGTCATTTTTGTGTTTGAAATGTGATCCGACTACTTTGTAGAAATTCGCATTAGAGTTGGCAAAAGTTTCAAGCGGAGCAAAGAGTAGTTATTTAACATAAATAAAGTGTATGTTGTGTATGCGACGAAACAGTGTGAGTATTTTTAATTAATTTCTGTTCGATGCTTATTCAGACCTGCTGCCTATGGACGCCTTCTACAGTTGTACAACACCAATAGAGTTCCAACAAAAGGACAATAAACATATGATGATACGCGTCGTGAGATGTCTCTCATTTGTAGTGTATATTCCCGCTCATGAAGTAATAACATAATACTAACTAATACATAGGAACCATACAAACAAGACAGGAAATACTATAGAAAAGGGAGAGTTCCCCGACACTAGAATCTATCGTGGCGACTTAGTGGGAGACTCTACATCTAGATAACCTATTATTCATTATCTAATTTGCACATCTAGTGGCTGGAAATTCAGGCGAGACAAACATCATGTACTCCACTGCTGGTGCGTGCTCCGTCATTCTAATTAATACCGACATAAACTCCACCTGCTCATTTCAATAACGTGTGCTGCCTATTGTGTAGAACGCATTTTGTTTTACCGATTTTACTTCGCTAGTTTTATGGTAACAGAAATACCTTAGTAGAAGTTTTCTAATTATACTCTGCGTTCGTACAAGTGTGCTTGTTTACGTTGAGTGCGTGCGTGCGTGCGTGCGTGCGTGCGTGCATAGTTACATCCGCGCCCACATGACCGAGTGTTTTTCACATTTCGCCATGCCACTGCCGGTCGAAAGCCATTAGAAAACACTTTGCGCTGTTCAGACGTTCCTAATTACAGCTTAACTTCAAATTAACGCTCTCCCGGCGCACTCACGGCGGCCGCCACACACTGCAACACTCCGGCCCGCGCAGTCTGGCGAGAATTTACGGCTAAGAAATGGCCGCGCATGCCTAAAAGAATCACCGCAGCACAAATGGGACACTGCCTGGAAGATAAAGCGCGTAGATAAGACGCTGTCGTACGTGTTATGGCGATCGCATAGTTTCGCAGTCACGCCGTGACGTTATCGGTCAGGGAGCCGTTGACGGCTGACAGACGGGTTCAATGCAGCGAAGAGCCACGGTGATGATAACGTCCTGTCACCTGGGAAGCACATTGGCTTTACCTCGTCAGCTAGAAGACGCGGATCGTCTGACGGACGGCGACTTTGGCTAGAGTTTGTTGGCCTAAATGGCCATTTAATTCTTCACTAAAGGCTGGAAGGCTGGGGCACTGATTATCGCTGTTTTTTCCTCCCCATGATGTCATATCTGGGGTGATATAATAGCCATCAGGGCTACCACACTGGAGAGACGGGAGTCAAGTGCCGGCACCTGATCACACACACTATCGGAACGTGTGCCATCGCCGTCAAGGTCACGCACTAGCAAAACCATTAGCACGACACGGCAGCGAATTTAACCTCGTGGGCAAGAAACGCCGCCCAGAGAAAGCGAGAATTTTCGGTTTATTGTCGTTCGGATTTTTATGGCGTCTGTAAGTGCAAAAATCCGTCCCGTTGACGCAATACCTGTGTTTTCGATGTTGTATCTGTGCCGGGCTGCGCACCCGAGTAGAATTCTGATTGACGTTACTAGGACGTAAATAGACGGACCAACGACAGAACACTTCAGTATGGCTAGCGAAGGTGGCAGCCCACAGGCGGAGAATACTTGTTTTCATGCATACAGTCGACGATTGACGTAGTCTCACAATCCATCATCGGCAGAGACGAGATGCCAACCATGCCCCATTAACGTCGACTACAATTATAGCGCTTTACGGGCACATGCATTCCATCTCTCGCTCTTCCCTTTACCGACAGCTACATACCACACAAGGCGACCACTAGAAAAAGTAGTCAATTAATTTAGAAATGTAAAGAAATACGTAATCCGATGGCGCGATAAGACGCACCCTAATAAGAATCATCCAGAACACGCTTGTATTTATATGGCTAACTTGGGCTGGGCAGATACTATCGCGCTCTGTCAGTAAACTGTCTT